AAGGGATGACAATGTCAATGAAATTATCCCGGTTTAAATGGTACTCCGTACAGTTCTGTTGAAACTATAAATTAGTGTTGATGGATGACATTGTACACCTATGGTGCTCTTTTTGTAAAATAAATGATTCCAACCGCCCAGTAAACTTCCTCCCAGCATTCGTAATTTTTTCAGTATCTGTAGTTAATATTATCAAAATATATGTGCAATTGTGCATAAAAAAAAGTTTAGTATCTGTATTTTAATATTATCAAAATATGTGTGCATGTTCTAGACTTGGCAAAACAGAACCGGAACCGATTACCCGAACCGAAATATCCGAAACCGAAACCGGAATAATCCGAAAAAAGAAGATCCGATCTATAACCGAAAACCCGAAATGATCCGAACCGAACCGAAACCGAACTAAATAATTCATATCCAATTTAAATCCGAAACCGATTAGACCCGAAACTGATAATATCCGAACCGATTAAACCCGAAACCGATTAGATCCGGACCCGATAATACCCGAAACCGATAAAATCCGAAACCGATAGATCTGAAACCGATAATATCCGAACCCGATTAGAACTAAAATCGATAAATTCAGAACTATGTTTACCTTTCAATAAGCATATTATATTTTTAAATTTTTACTTTTATTTTACCATTTGAACTAGTTACATTACTTGCTCATTCCCTCATAAAATGAATTATCTTCTTGAAAAAAAAGTACAAATTTTTATGCCTTAAATTTATTATATGTAGAAATTAAAGATAAGTTATACATATAAATGATAACGCACAAACAAATAAAATTTCTGTAATTTTTAAATAGTGAAGTGTGATATTCTTTTTGGGACGAAAGGAATATATATATATGATGAATTGTATGGAATAATTAGATTTTATCATAATTTCATCTCATTACAATAAATTTTATTGATTTGAGAGTTAATTTGATTAGTTTCAAACAAATTCACTCAATATTAGTCAATAAAATTAAATGTTAGTGTTAGCATTTTGAAAAGACTCTCTAGCGGCAGCCTTTACTGTTATTTTTCAAATTTGATCTACACCATTACATTTAGGTGTAAAATTAATTATATTTGACTCTATTAAATTTAATTTTCTCTATTTTCAACCAAATATACTCAACAATTTACAAATTTTACACTTAGTTGAATAAAATTCACTTAATTTCACCCAATTTTACTCAATTTTTACCAAATTCTATTCAAATGGAACATAAGACTATTTAAATTTATCTTTTATGTTTTCATTTATATACATAAGTATATTACTAGATGTGAGAAAATTTTTATATTTCAAAACTAAATTTTAAAATTAATTTAATTATATTAAATTTATATCATAATTAAATATATATGTTTTCATAATTTGTAGTCCAACTTTGTAAAATATGACTAAAAAGTCAAAAGGGGAAAATTTGAAAATAATATATATCCAAAATATATTTGATCCGAAACCGAAATATATCCGAACCGAACTAGACTCGAAACTGAAATATATCCGACTCAAATTGTATCCGAACCGAAATCTATCCGAACCGATTTATAATCGAACCGTATCTGAACCGACTCGAAACCGAATCGAACCGAAAAATGTATAGAACCGAAATCAAATCCGAACCGAAATTTAACCGATCCGAACCGAACCGAACCGATTATAACATATAACCGAAAGATATCCGAACCGAAAAAATCCAGCCCGAAACCGATCTGGTTGATCCGATTACCACCTCTAATTGGTTCCCAATGTCATGGGAACCTTGCCCATGATGCAATGGCTTAATATGAACAAGCAAAACTAGTTCAATTTTTTATACTCCCTTGCTCCAATAATTCTCTTCACACTTTCATTTTTGGTCGCTTTAATTTTTTTCCTTTTTGACAAAAAAACATTCTTTAATCGGGGTGGTCTTGTTGACATTGACATCTAGTGTCAAGGGATGACAATGTCAATGAAATTATCCC